TGCATTGGCACGTTTTTCATTAAGCAGGATTGAGAAGTTTTCTTACAAAAGTGTGGGATATGGTAAACCTAAGATTACCAAAGCCCAAGCCCTCGCCCTCCAAAAACTCACACGTGATTGTGATTACATGGCACTAATTTTGCGACTAGAGAGAACTACATAAACAGACGGATCGGCACCCCGAGTCAAGTGCTCCCAGCTGCCTATACCCGGCCGAGCACCAAAGCGAGACCTCCTGCTCAATGGACTCCAATAGCTGCGCCGGTGACAAAGTGACGCGGTTGAACGATCTAACGTTTCTTTCCTTCCACAGGAGCCAGCCGACGAGAAGCAAAAATGAGTCGAAACCACGGCGCAACTCCTTGGGCAGCCACTTCCTGGAGGTCGTCCACCACCACATGATGTCCTCCTGCTGAACGACAACCAGATCATGCAGGAGGAAACTTTGGAGGCATGAATCCCAAACCTCGCAGCTGAGGATTAGATGGTCCATCGTCTCCGCAGCTTGGTCACAGATAATGCAGGTGTCACTGTCCTGCAAACCATGCCTATGCGCCGTCCAGCAGCGCCCATGCATGACCAACCAGAAGAAAAACTTGACACGCGGAGGCGCCGACGTCTTCCAGATCAACTTCGCCCCAAGCGGTCATGAAGAACCAACGAACATCGCGCCATAGGCCGACGACGCGGAGTACTGTCTGTCCGGCGTGAGCCGCCAGCTGAACGTGTCAGGCACGCCGGGCAACAACTGCACCTGCTCCACCATGTTCCATAGATTGATGAATTCAGTGATGAGCCTCATGGTCCTTGACCCGGTGATGTGGTGCACCCAGGCTCTTCCATGGACTGCCACAGCGACGGAGGTTTGTCGTCTTCTCTTTGGCACCGCCGCGAACACCGCCGGCGCAATGCGTCGCACGCTGGACCCCTGGAGCCAGTTGTCCAGCCAGAAGAGTGTGGACTCGCTGTTCCCCAAGACAGAGAGCGTGGCCGCCTCGAAGACTGTTGCGACCATGCGTTCCTCGCGTTCTGGTAGGGACCCCCAAGAATGCTCAGAGTCGACGCGACGGAGCCATGGCCATCGAACCCGGAGCGCCACACCGGCGCGGCGAAGGTCCGCTATGCCGAGGCCACCTAGGTCGCGCGGCCTACAGACCGTTGGCCAGGCGACCTTGCAACGCCCCCAGAAACCGAGTCTGCGCCCGCCCAAATGAACGCTCTCCGCAGCTTGTCGATGCAATTGATCGCCCAAGAAGAGAGGCAAAGTGCGATGGACGTGACGTGCATGATGAAGTGAAGTGACGAAACAAAAGTGGACGGAGCATTATATTGAAAGTCGGTATGCGGTGCGGGGTGGCCAAGAATCAATTCTCCTTCCACCTAAATGCTAGCTGAATGCCTAAGAATTACCAGCTACTACTACTCGGGTACTAGTATATCTGCAGCTCGATATGTTCTGGCAGTGGCACACACTGGCACCGGGCCAGGAGCAGAGCAGACAGAGGCCGAGGCCAGTAGGCCACATCCACATGCCATTCTCCGTCGCGGCAGAGCTCGCCACACCCACTACCACCACCACCACCCGACCTGCTGCGGACCAAGAAACGGAACCGCCCACGGTGCTGACAGCATGGCGCAAGTCGCTGCTCTTCAACTGCGACGGCTTCACCGTCTACGACGCCAGGGGCGACCTCGCCTTCCGCGTCGACTGCTACGCCGCCTCCCGGAGGCGCGCCGAGGTCGTGCTCATGGACGCCGCGGGGGCGCCACTCCTCACGCTGCGCCGCAAGAGGCTCAGCCTGGCGGAACGCTGGCTCATCTACGACGGCGCCGACGCCTCGCCCTCTCCTCTCCGTCTGCCGCCACGTCGGCGGCCTCCACTCCTCCGGCAGCGGCAAGACGCTGGCGCGCGTCGTCATGCCCACCGCCACATCCGAGGCGTTCGTGGTCGAGGGCTCGTACGGCCGGCGTGCCTGCGCCGTGCGCGACGCGCGCGGCGACGTCGTGGCCGAGGTGCGGCGCAAGGAGGCCGTGGGCGACGACGTGTTCAGGCTCGTGGTGAGTCCCCGCCTCGGCGCGCCGCTCGCCATGGGGCTCGTCATCGCCCTCGACGAGATGTTCGGCGGCCGCAGCTCGGCGCGCTCGTGGCTGCGCGGCCCGTGCTAGGATAGGATAGGCAGTGTACATGTAGAACCGAAAGGCGCCCATGTACAGGCGCGTGCTAGGATAGGTAGTGTACACTTAGTACAAGCCAAGGGAGCCCACGTGTCAGTGTCAGGGCAAAGTCTGTATCCTACCGTACAGTGTAGAGTGTGGACCTCTCTACACAGAGATGGGGCCTACCGGCCCCAGTTGTCAGCGTCAGCAGAGTTTATAATGCAGGCTGCAGCTAGGCTAACCCAAAGTATGCCGTATCAGATTCATCCGGCTAAAGCGCAGAAGAGTCAAATTCTCTATTTTGCTCTCTTTTTTTCCCCCTTTTATTACAACACTCTACCAACGGCTCTGTTCGGCTGCTCGTAAAGCCGCTTGTGTTGATTTGTACGGCTGATTTGTTGGGAGAGAAAAATACTGTACCATGGCTTATAATCCGGCTTATAATGACAGCCGAACACTCGGTATTTGTTGTTCAACTTCATGCTCATGCACATGTAGTGAACCATGTCCATGTAGCACGGATCTGCATGGTTAGCATTGTACATGGCATAGTCAACAATTTTTCATATTTATATTACTGTTGATATACCTATATGTCAATGAAGGTATACTTACAATGCACTTACACGATTCAAAGAGTCCTCTGGATGTGCATGGTTTCTCATTGATATCCTCAAATATATATAGATGGAATGAATACGCATTGAACATCCCTGAACGTTACAAAATGTCTTGAGCAGATGCGAGTAATAGTGTTTCAATTTTCAAATGAACAACGTACAAATTATACCAAGTGGTATATTGTTGATCGCAACTTGTTTATTTGTAATATTTAACACAATGTTATCATATATCCTTTAGCATAAATGATAACACAAGAATGTAACATCTTGGAATATGACCATATGAGGCCGTTTAACAAATTCAAAACAAATTGGATTTTGAAACTCTAAGAACTTAGAACATAGTTTGTGGACTTTAATTAATTTTAAATAAAAAAGGCATCAACTGCAAAGTTGTATATGGCTTCGAGATCCATAACTTTGATATAAACTTTGCCTTCATATGATATTAATATGTTGCATCCTAGCTAAAAAACTAACTAGAAATCTCAAGCTAAGTGCCAATATGCATTCTCTAATGCATAACAACATAAAATTGTACGCCAATATGCATTCTCTAATTCACAGCCTTAGTGGTTTTCAGTTACACCTAAGGAAATGTGAATTACTTTGGTGGTTTCTAATAACACTCAAGGAAATTAAATATGAATTACCTTGACAGCTTTAAATAGCACTCAAGCAAATGAGGAAATACCTTGGCGGCCTGTAACAACACCTAAGGAAACATGGAATTATCTTGGCGGCTTGGACTAGCAATCAACGAAATGTGATATTACCTTGGCGGTTTGGGTTAGCACTCAAGAATATGCATTTTCTTGGAGGTTTCATATGACCCCATGGTAATGATATATCCTTGGGGTTTCAATTTCACTCCTCAAGATAATTGCTAGCCCCAAGGATATTTTGTTTTCTATTAGTGTAGGGACCTTGGGCGGTGAACACTTTGGTGTGCACAAACGTTCCATGTTGCTTGAGGACCACGACTCTTATGTGCTCCGCTGACTCGTCGGATGTGTGGGGGCAGGCGGGTCAGAATCCGGTGTGGCAGTGATTCCACACGCAGCGGGGTGTGAAGGGCGGGTGGGCGGGCCAGAGGCATGGTGCAGCAGCATAAGTGGGCGGTGAGGCAATGCAGTACAACTTTCTAGCACAACCTATCCATCGCGTTTCCAGAGAGCCTGGTTTTAGTGTGGTCGGTATCAAGCAACCAATGCAAACAATTCCAACCTGTATTGTTGGAGCCTAGATAAGAGGCAAGCAAACAAGCATATGCTTGCAAGGCCATGGTAAAAATCAACGTGGTAAGTATTGCGAGTAGATATTCCCTCTGTTTTAACTTACATGTCATGTTAGCTATGTCCTAAGTCAAACATCGATTTCATAGAATTTAAATAAATTCATGACATAGCAGGATTTATGTTTTTAGACTCACTACAAGGAATACTTTCATAGTCTATAATTTATATACTGTGAAACTATAAAGATTTTTTGAAATGGATGGTTAAAGATAGTAACATTTAACTTAGGATAAAGATAATGTGACATGTAATAAATAAAACGGAGGAAGTACTCCCTCCGTCCCGTTAAGATTGTCGCTCGGGAAGCGGGATTGTGAGGGGGGCACGGTTTTCCAACGACAAACTCAATGGGACGGAGGGAGTAACTGTTAACGGAGACAATCCTCTCTCAATGGTCTCCGGTATACTAAGGCCAGTCTCAGCGGGGGTTTTATCTCACAGTTTCCAACACACTCATATTTTGGAAACAGTGCAGAAGAGTTTCATTCCCATGAAACTCTCTCTACTCCCATGAAACTTTTATCTTCTCTCTCTTCATCAAGACAGTGCCATGTCAACATATTTAATGCTCATGAAACTCTATGAAATCCCCATTGAGACTGACCTAATAGTAAAAAAATGGTCTCCGGTATAAATGAGAAATCCAAAGATAAAACTTGGGACGACGTGTTGCATGCATGCGGAGGGGGGGATGAACAGATGGCCAGCGTACGTGGAGGGGAAACGATCGATGCAATTCCTCCGACCGAAACGCCTGCCACGACCCCTCCGACGAACCGCTGGCCTTCCCGCGCGCCTCTTCCACTTCCACCACTAACATCAGTACATAACCGCTAGCTCCTCGATCGATTTATCTTCCCCACCAAAATCCCTTCCACACCAACCAACCTGCCTCGCTCTCGAATTAACATAACAGCCAGACATGGCGCCGCCCATCGTCTGTGGTAAGCTGCACCATCGGCTACTCCGGGCGGCGGCCTATGGTGACCTCCGCCGCTTCAAGAGTGCGTCGTCTTCGAATTCGCGCGTGGCCGGCCGGCCGTGTTCTTTTATTTAATTTTGTGTGCTCAGAGAATTGAACGAGCTAACAGGGCGCTAGCTGATTTAATTTATTATTTTTACTTTTTGAATGTAAATTTATTATTTTTACTATCTGATCGTCGATCGAACGTCTCGTGCCTCTCGATCAGGGATCGCGAGCGCCCTTGACGGCGGGAAGGGCCGAATCAGGGAGGCGGTGGAGGCCGTCTGGGACGGCAACGGCGCCGGAGCGCTACACGTCGCCGCCGCACACGGGAGGACACGGGTGTGTGCTTACCTAGTTGAGGAGCTTCAGATGGATGTCAACGATACTGCCGTCCTGTCAGGTGCTACTCCACTCCATCTTGATGTCCTACTCTTACTCTCAGCGATGCAAGGTGGTGGCAAGCAGTATGCTGAGGTGGATATTTCATCCGGGGACGGGGACGCCGCCGCAATGCAAAGAATTCTTGGGATTATACATGAAACTAGGCTAAGTAGGCCCTATTTTGGAATTATATACATAGAAATGGAATGAAAATACTATTCTTTATGCAATTCACATACACACAGCGTCACATGTTTTTTTTTGTTGCAAATTAACCACTATATATATCGCGAATGGCTTCTGAATCCGGCTGATTCAACTTCAGCTTAATAAATTATCTAATTCCACATTCCTCTTGTGTTGCACGTACATTGAAATCAGGCTCTCATTAATTGTTCATTATTTCTTATAACACAAATATTTGAACATGGTTGTGCGCTTTACATAAAATAGCTAGGCACATTTCCAAGTATTTAAGATATTGTTTTCATATATTATTTGTGTATTTATGCACCTGAAAACTACAAATACATACTTTATTCATGGAAGCACACCAAATGCAAAAAAAATGTATATGCAATGCATCATGATGTTTTTCATGGACTATACGTTTTTTTTTGTGAATTATCATGGACTATACGTTTAGCATGAATATAATGCAACGTTTGAGGTCCCAGTGGTGTCATTTAATCTCTCAACATGTTATTGTTATTTAAAATCTTTAGATTTCTATTTTATTTGTGTACAAAGCATGCCATCATAGAAAACTTGCTGCGGATGTTTATTTGTTATAATTAAGGAGATTTAATGATGATTTTGTATGAAAGTTTATTGTAATGATTATTTTGTAGGTGATACACCTCTCACCTATGCAGTTCGTTCAAAAAAAAATGTGGATGCTGTGAGGTATCTTCTAGATCATGATGCTGATCCAAATAAGCGTGTGCATCATGGGTGTACCCCACTAAGTATCGCAGTTGGAAAAGGTAGAACATATCATGCATACACATCTTATTGTTCTTATGTATTATATGTGGTTATGTCATTACTTATTAATAACTTTGTATTAATTAATAAATTCCTTTTAAAAGGCTCACGGAATGTGCTACACAACTTGTTGGATATCCATCATGGATACCAAAACAGAGAATGCATGCGATATATGTCACATTTAATTAGGATATACTTAGTTTTATTGGTTCCAATTTTTTCAGAGAGAGAGATTCCCACAAATGAGCAAAACATTCTTATTTTTACTAACACTTGAATTGCTTAACGTCTCTAAATCAATCTGATAATAATATTGGTATGTTATTAATCCAATCCAGTTACATACATTTTGTGCACAGATTGTTAGAAGAAAGACTTAGTGTAACTGTGGTAGAAAAAATATTGTTTTTGTTAGCTAATATCAAATTCTTTAGTGGATGGTAACAATCTTAGCTTTGCCAACATTTTAATTCCTATCCAAACCCATAAAGTATCTAAACTTGGCAAGAGAATAAAGCACTGTTTTCAGCTAAACCTTCTGACACTATATATGATCGTTGGGTTCATTTGAAATTTTAGAATGTTAGTCACCATTACCATCAATAGTTAATTTCCTTAATGAATTAAGACATTCTTTCAATGTCTAGGTACATATAGGCAGGACACCAGCTTAAACATCATTGTCTTCTATTTGATTTAATATGCCGATCGAGGTTACATATAATTGAATAATAGATATGTCTCAATGAATCCACATGAAATTTATAAATAATAACAGGTTGTTGCAAAACCACTAATAATTAAAAAAATCTACTCAAACAAGTATTCAATATGTTTCTCTTACTAATCATATCGCAATGGTTTATTTTGTTCTACTTTAGCACATGTATTGTATTACACTGTCACTATAGCTTTAGTTGATGCTAATTATGGATTTTCTAATAATATGTCTAGAACTAATAAATATTGGATCTAGTGGCATTGGAAACACGTGCTCAAATGTGCATGTTTGGTTATATGAGGATGTGGCATAATGGTTCATTAAACCTTAATATTCGTTTATATATATATATATTTAATACAGGAATATGTGTAATGGTAGAGCTCTTGCTCTCAAAAGGAGCTGATGTTAATTCTTTGTCTTGCGGCGGGACGCCACTGCATGTTGCTGCAACGGAAAATCATGGTGCTGTTATGAAGATTTTACTAGACTACAATGCAGATGTAAGGTTCTTGACATGCACAATTGCACATTTCTTGTTTTCACGTGCTGATACGGTTACCCATGTCATCAACTATACTAAATTGTTTTCATCCTTGTTTATGAAAGAATGGTTAGTAACTTTTTGTCAGAAATTTGTTACTGCTATGAATATAATTATGGTCATTTGGTTTGTTTAATTAATCTGTATAATCTATCTTTATTTTCTGTACATTGTTACACCTATTTGATGTTTTTGACTTTCTTTATGTCTTCTAGAACTAAACTTTATATGCTTGTATCAATACATACTAATAAAATTATACTTTTATAATAGTATTTCAGAATAAAAATCTAGTACTACCTCCATTTCACAATGCTTGTCTGGTCCACATGACTTTGCGGCAAATAATGAGGAAACATTAATGAAGTTATGAAACTTGTACTTATTTTTTGAACCAAAAACTTGTACTTGTTGAATTGAACAATAGCACATTTAATAAGCCTAACATGATCCATTTCAGTTAAACTTCCTTTGATTTTGTTGCTCTTGATATGGGTAGTAATCTGGGTGCTCTTGATTGATGAACTGGTGGAGATTACAGAGGCTGGATGAACTAGATAGCAGCAGCAGCAGAGGGGATCGCCCTCCCTGGGGGGCTCTGATCGACTAACCCTCCTTATGCTTGCCCCTAATGCCCAGCCGCACAGTGGTTATAATCCCCCACATGCGGCTGGTATTGGTCCTGCATGTCTAATCTTAGTCCTATTAGTCCTGCATGTCTAATCTCTAATCTTAGCCACTAGAGATGTCATAATCCCCCACATACTTTGTTTCAGGATCACCCTGTGTACAAAATGGATCTGGCTGATTTGAAGTTAGAAGGAAGCAAGGCATACAACAAAAAGGATTATTCTACTGCAGTAAAACTCTACTCCGTGGTATGTTGCATGATGCACTCGTTTATCCCCAACAGTTACGTGGCTTGAAACTATACTAAGAATTCAAAATGGGGTATAGACAAACATTGTGAAAGGGAGGGTGTATGTAGCTATGTAGTAACGATTTGCAAAATGATGTCATCTTACAAAATCATTTCCTGCCACACCACCATCGTGCTAATACTATGTCACAAAGCATATGGGATTAGGCCTTATTGTATTTAGACTACATTATAGATGAATCAAATGGGCAACCAAATGCCTAAGCCTACTATATTTTGCAGTGCACAATTCGAGGGTGCTTTGTATGTGTGCTTTGTCGAGTAGTTGGGAACAAGATCTGCATCTAAACCATTTTGCTATCCCTAGACCGAGTAATGCATTGTGACTTTGTGCTAGAATCTGAAATAATTATGCAATAAGGCAGTGATTTCATTATATTGGATCAATAGGCCAAACTGCGTTGCTAATTCAGGCATTGGTGAACGAAAGTTTCCAGGAGGAAAAGGTTTTATACCAAATCTGTTTCATATATATCAAAACCAAATCATATCCTTTTTACCCTAATTCTTAGGATACAACATGATTACCATGCCAATTTCTGTAGTACTGACGTTAGGAAAAAAGTGCACTCATGCATGTAAGTGGTAGAATAACTAGCATATATTTATGTGTTAATTGTTGGTTTGATATGGTGTAGGCTATAATGAAATCCGATTCTGGCGATGCAACATTGCTTTCAAATAGGAGCCTTTGTTTTATTAAAATGGGTGAAGGAGACAAGGCTTTGGTTGATGCTGAAGCTTGTAGGGCTCTGCAGCCTTATTGGCCAAAAGCCCGCTTCAGACAAGGGATTGCTCATATGCTCTTGAAGGTGTTGATTTATTAAGAATTTATAACTTAGGGCGCTTATATTGCCGTAGAAAATCCATTTCTCTGACGACACAACAAAACTCTGTTCAGGCCTATGAAAAGGCATGCGATGCCTTTCTTGATGGCCTCAAGTTGGACCCGACTAATGCTGAAATGGAGAACGCACTTCGGTATCTATCTGGTCCCCTGCATTGTTTGTCCTTTGTTCTGATAATGGTCTCAGTGTAGTCACAAATTAAACCTCATTTGTTTTTACTACTCCCCCATGCATGTCGTAATTGGTCCCATCTATAGTTTCATATTATTGGAACATATACATGCATATAAAAAATTCATACGGATGGTGGCGCATTATTATTTGGATCAAGATAAGCTGCAGTAGTTAATTTTTTGTGTTAGGTGGTCGATATCGTGATGATTGAATTGAATAATCCCCATGTGTATTGTATTGCAAATTAAGTTGGCCCGGTCCACTTTGTGTGACATTGTAACTGACCTAATAATCTGATTATGCAGAGAGGCTTTGAACTCCTTGAAGATATCTCGTGCGACATGACAACAAAGCTCTCGGAATTGTCCCTTGCCCACAGCCACAAGAATATTATGCAAGACTTGCATGGGAGTCCCGCTTAATATGCAATTACCACAGATTTCTTTGCATTAATTATGGTTGGTTTGATTTTGAGTCGGAGGTTTTAAGATGAGAATACTGTACACGTTGTTGGTGCTTAAAAATTTCTTTGCATTAATTACCAGATATTTCTTTGCATTAATTACCAGATATTTGTTTGCATAAAAAATTTCTTTGCATGGACGTGTCTTAAGACTTGAGCGGTGTTTTTGTGTGTGCAGTGCTCGATCTATCAAGACGTACGTACGTAACTCCTGTAAAATAAAATGGTTTAGGATCTTATATCTTACAGTGGAGCTTGCTCGCGCTGTTTGCGCATGCAGGACACGCTAGGAACACAGCCGTACTTTAAACCTAGCTAGTTCAAGTACAAAGATGAAACTAGTACTAAGGAGGAGATACTAGCGCCCGGACATCCGACAAAAGCGTGCGTCCGGACGCCTGTGCCTCCTCTGTCATGCACGCCCGCGGAAACGCTACGCTCGCCGCTCCTTCCTCCTTACCCCCTTGTCTCCCTTCATGAGTCCGGACGCCGCGCCTCCTCCACACGCCCGCCGCCACCCCGGCGTGCTCCTTCCCCCTAAATCCCCAGCACGACCCAGGTGCGCCACACACCTCGACCGCCGACACCTAGCACGCCCCATCCACCGGCCCCCGCTCATCGCACCTCATCCCCAGCACCTTTGGCCGTGCCCCATGACTCTCTACCTCTGAAATATTGAACACTTGGATGCAACATATGTCTAAAGCAACATTTGGAACATACACTTAAAACATGTTTGTGAAACATACGCAACATCCAGATAAAATACTTGCAACTTACAACATAAAAACACTTATTGCAACATAAGACTAAAACGGCTGAAACATTTCGAACATACTCTTGCGACATATATCTGTGAAACATATGCAACATCCAGATCGAAATGTTTGCAACATACTTCTAAAATAGATGAAACATTTTGAACAAACGCTTGCAACATGCCTTTGAAACACTTGCAACATGTCTCTGAAACACTTGCAACATAACCCGATCTACTTTTGCAACATCCGCATAAACCACTTGCAACATACCTCTAAAACATCTGAAACACTTCAAACATATGCTTGCAACATGCGCTTTCAACGCAATATCTCCTTGCTGTTTTGGAACGGAGGCTCATCGGCGCGTGGAGTTCACCAGTGTAGAGCTCGCCGTTTCGGTGGAGAAGGCCACGGCAGGTACGGTGAAGAAGGCTGTGGCGAGTCCACGCGCTCTAGAAGGCCGCGGCGGGCAAGAGGCGTGGTGGAGAGGGAGGAAGATGGGCTGCTGCACTCTGGCATGGTGGAGAAGGCGCCTGGCGGAGCGGAGGCGCTTTCGCGGTCTCGTGGAGACTTGTCACGACGCTGTGGTGAGGTTAGCTTTTTAGAACGGTTAGGGGAGAGTGGATGAGCACATAAAAGAGCGGTCGTTGGCCCACCATCCGGAGCGTCCGGCACGGATGGACGCCTTTACGAAGAATTACGGAACTACTAATTGCCCGTGTAAATAAAACAAAACGTGTAACAGCAGCTTAGTGAATCAGGAGAAGCTATTTTTTCTAGCTCCCAGCCCCGTAGTTTATTTCAGAGAATCATTTTACAGAATTAGCAAATAATCAATTCTTAGTAAAAAAATGTTTGGCAGAGTTTCTCCTGGATTCAACATGGAAGCTGATTTGAGAGCTCTGCCAAAATGCCCCTGAGAATACTCTGCCCTAAAAGAAGTTATATTGGGGAGCCTCAAAATGTTTTTTAGGCTTGACAAGTGCTATTGCAGTGGTATAAGAACTTAATCCCAATAACTCCCTTTACGTGTTGGAGCGAGAAGTTCGAGATATACGACTTTATTTTGGAACGCTGGATAGCAAAACTGGTGGAGCCCCATTTCTTCTGAAAATTTTCCATTTCTTTTGAAAGTTTACAATTTGACTGCAAGACACAAATAGCTCATCTTCCCCTCCCACCACCATGCTCGCTGCCACTACCTCGCTTGCGTCCCGCCACCTCTCTTCCCCTCCCACCCTCTTTATTTTTCTGCTTCTAGTCTCCCACGCACATAAGCTTAACGACCCATTTTTCTACAATTTGGCCATTTTTTTAAGAAAATTTACGTTTAGCCCCCTGGGAGACTTAAACTCATCTTTGGACCCTGGGGGTCGGCGCCAGGACTCATGGCGCCGAGGTAACATGTCTTGGCGCCACAGATCTTGGCTCCGAGTTGCCTGGCCATGCACAGCAGAGCATCCTAGGTGACGTTGACGTGGCCGGTACCTCAGCGCCAGAATACATGGCTCCGAGCTCGGCGCCACAGATGTTGGCGTCGACCTCGGAGCCGTCAGATGATGTGCCGCGGCGGAGGTGATGAGACGTGCAAGCGGTAGCAGGCCCACACACCACACATCGCTCTCCTCTCCTCCCCTCTGACACAGACGGTAGGTGCCTGCTAGTCTGCCACCGTGCACGCACTCGGTGCATGCTACTTTTGCCCTGCAGGTGGAGAGCTGTAACGTCAAATAATCTAGCCGCGTTGGGCTGCCACCTGCTGAGTCCACGCATGGGAGGAGATGTGAGGGAGCGGCGTGGGCCCCAGCTGTCCACGTTGAGAGGCATGACACATGACAGGTGCATGCGGACCCGTGGTGTAGACGGGTGCAGGTGCGTGCTGTTCTGTGGTCCCGCCACGGAACTGCCTCTCAACGTGGACAATGGGGCCCACGCCGCCCTCCTCATCTCGCCCCATGCGCGGACTCAGCAGTGGCAGCCCAACGCGGCTAGATGATTTGATGCTACAGCTCTCCACTGCAGGGGCAAAGCGGCATGCACCGAAGGCCACAGACGGCGGGCAGATTTGCGGCAGCAACCGTCCGTGTCGAGGGGAGGAGAGGAGAGCGTGTGTGGTGTGTGGGCTCGCTACCGCTTGCACGCCCTCATCACCTCCGCGCAAAGACATCATCGACGGCTCCGAGGTCGGCGCCAAGATCCGTGGCGCCGAGCTCGGAGCCATGTATTCTGGTGCCGAGACATCAACGCCACCTAGGATGATATGCTGTGCATGGCTAGGCAACTCGGAGCCAAGATCTATGGTGCCGAGATGTGTTACCTTGGCGCCATGAGTCCTGGCGCCGACTCATAGGGTCCAAAGATGAGTTTAAGTCTTTGAGGGGGCCAAACGTAAATTTTCTTCAAAAAATGGCCAAATTATAAAAAAAATTGGGGCTTGACGAGATGCAAGTCGTTGCCTGTAACACCCCTGGTGTTACGAGCTCGTTTAGCACCGCGATTTAGGCCTAAGAAAAATTTTGAAGGGAGTTTCTCGGATTTTTGATTTAAAGCATGAAAAGCAACTTTTATAAATGAAATAAAATCCATTAATAAATCGAACGATATATATATATATGGCCTTGGTCTAGTGACATATTTAAGTATGGATTCGTTTTGGTCCCTGCAATAAGTTGGTAACGTATCCGCGGCAGCTGCCCGTCTGGCCGTTTCATAAATTTATGTGGTTCTGTCCCTGCCCACGCTGTGTCCTCTCTCTGCCGTGCACCGCCGAGTAACCACTGCCTCCATTGTCCCGTCGAACTGATAACCTGGTCGTGCTGCCTCTGTCTCTGATTATGCTTGCCTACCCCCACGTGTCCCTTCTCTGATTGGTATTGTTGTTGTACTGGACGCGCAGTAGGCCCCATGTGCCTGCTTTTGCACGACTTTGTTCGGAGCGCCTTAATGGGATTTGCCAAGTCGCTGCTCGCTCTGTCCCCTTGCTTCTGTGGCCTGCCTTGCTTGTATCTGCCTGCTCTGTCGCATCATTCCAGCAGCAATCAATGTCTCTATCTGCCTTTGCCTCTGCCTATGTCTTGCCTGTTGCCTTTCCCGTGTGCCGCAGCACCGCCTCTCCTTTTTCCCTCTCTGCGCTGCCATGGTCGCTTCCACAGCTGCTACCGTACGCAAGAGCGTGCTAGGCAGGCCCGGTCGTGGCCGCACTTCTCCACGCCACTGGTGCCGGTCTTTCTCCGCGCACGGGCTCCCAGTCCATTTCGTACCGCTATCCTCCCGTGCGTTCTTGCCCATAGCGCTGCCCTGCTGCTCCACAGCGACTCACCAACCGCCGCTGCCCCGTAGCACGGTACCACGCGAGCCCGAGCCATCACCCCCGCGTGCACCCCTCGGTGAGCCGAGCTGCTCCGGGCGACCTCCGCTGGTGCCTGTGCTGCTCCCCCTCCTCTGCTTGCCTCGCGCCAGCGCCCCACCGTTGAATCGTTCGTCTCCTTCCCGCGTCGCACGCCATGCCCGCAGCGTCGCCTCCGCATGAGTACCAGCACCCTCCTTGCTCTTCCTTTCACGCTGCTAGCTAGCCATCTTTGGCTGCCCCCGTCCTCGCAGCCGATCGGCGAGCCACATTCACCATAGCCGCCCCGTCCGGCTATATCGCGACGCGCAGCGCCTCCGAAGTTCGCGCCATGTCCCCGTCGTGGCCATGCTGCCGTCGTGGCCCGCCTTGGCGAGTACCAATCACGAGCAGCCGCAGCCGCTGCGCAGCCACCGCGCCAGAGCCTCAAGCGCCAACTACCATCGCCTGTCCTACCCCACCTCGTGCGTGCACGAGCCCACGGTCGCACTGGACCTGCAGCTTCACCGCGCGGCTCCTCCCAGGCACCATCTCCGTATGACATGACTCCACGGCGTCCTCGCGCATCTCCACCTCCGCTGCGGACCACGCCGCCCCGCTGTCGTCCGCCGGTGCCGCAGGGGCCGGCCCTCGCCAGCTGCTGCGCCGCCGCCGCCACCACCGAGCCCGCATTGCCGAGCCGCTCTGCCCCGTGTTGCATCGCTACCGCTTGTCGTGTCCGCATGTGGTCGCCTGCCACCATGGCCGGGTCGCCAAGGGCTACTGCGGGCCGGTCTTGGATATGGCGTGATGCGGCCGACGCCGCGCCGCGTCTGCGTCTGACGGTCTGCACTCGCCCTCACCGGCACCGTT